TAAGAAGTAAACCTGTCTCCCTGGCTAGCCGTTCATCTAAGTTCCTGTTATAAATTTCTGTGTCTATCTGAAAGCAGAGGCAGGCTTTTCAAAGAAGCCTGAGCAGGGACATCTGCGCCCTAGCTAGTATCATCAGAAGGTGATGACAGCGATGACGAAGCCCCTGCTACAGACCCGGGACTGTGTGGAGAGAGCCTCTCATCCATCCTGCCAGGCTGCATCCCAAAGTGGGGGCCCTCGCAGAGCCCTCTGACCCTCAGCCGGCCTGTCCCAGCTTCAGGCCACCGATGGCCTCCCTTAACCTTCCAAGTGGCAAAGAGAAATCACTGCAGTTACCTGACTCTTGGGACCACCTGTTCCAAATTATTCTTCGCTCTCCAAATGTTTATAATCTAACCCTCAAACAACAACCCACCCAGAGCGATCCAGCACCTTCCAGTAAACTTGATTTGGACGGCCTACCGTAACATTTTAGGGCCTTGCCACTGCCGGTAAATTTATTGACTCTTTTTAGGAACTGAAATGCATGGCGTTATAGTATAGAAGGAAAAAATCAAATTAGCCCTTGTAAATAAACAGTCATTTTCCTTCACAGAACCATGCACAACCTGCTAAATATCATGACTCACAAAGGCTCACGATTGCATATTCTAAATACTTAACGTGATTTTTTTTCTCTCTCTGTTTAAAACAACAACGAAGAACATCAGGGCAGAGTCGGAAAATAATTGTGTTCCATGCATTTAAAACCATCCAACTTCAGTACCTCTGTGCAAGGGGAACTGGGGCATAAATGTTCTCTGTACCCAGTGCTTACGGCACATGGGGAAGGCCCAGTCTGCACAGGTCTGAGGGCCTAGATTCCGCCTTCACTTGCTCTGTGGTCTCTCGCGAGTCATTGGACTTGAGACTCAGTTTCCTCATAAACAAAGTTGGAATATTATTATTATTATTATTATTACCTAACTCAAAGGGCTGTTGCGGGAACCCATCCTAAAAACACATGTCAAGAGTTGACTTCAGGCCTGGCATACAAGGACGTGCTCAATAAATGGCAGCTATTTTCATTATTATCAGTATTCACACACGGATATAATTTGCAAATACAGAGAAATGGCCAAGGCATGAATATGATGAAAGTGAGCAAAAAGAAGAAGAAAAATAAAAGCAGCAAAAGTACACATACAAGCCTGTGGCTTTATTTTGTCCCCTTTTCCCTACGTGGCAGGTACTTTCATACCTTGAAATTGATTTTAAATCACAGGCAGTGAGGAACAATTTCCTGCGCCTCTGATTCATTTACTGTGAGACAAGTGGGTCTGAGCCAGTCACTCCAAGTATTTGCCCCGATTGGGGTGGGGATGGGGGGTGGAATCCTCCGATTAGAAGAGGCATTAGTCAAACACCATTAGATCAGTTAAGATCTTCAAATAGTGAAAATGAAGCATTGTCTCAAGCAAATTCTCCACTAATTGTTTCCCTTCCAGAAGCTTCTTTTTGATTTGTGTGTTAGGGACTGTTTGAACTGCCACAAATCGTTGGGGGGATGGGGGTGGGAGGGGTGGGAGGAGACGCAAGTGGGCCATTCAGAAAGCTGTTATGATATTGGGGGTTGGGGATCAGGGAGGAAGGTGGGGAGTGTGTGTGAGTGTCTATGTGTGTTTTCTGTCAACAGGCTGTGTTTTCTCAACTCTAGGGTTAATTCTCTGTAAATAGATTCCGCTTGAGTCCACCAACTCCCTTTTCAGAGCAGCTAGCTAGAAAAAAAAAAAGTTTCCTTCCACCAATAAAGCTCAATCTTGGCAAGAATCAGGAGGTTCAGCCTTTGGCAGTAACTGAATAACCAACCACTTCACCTCCATGAACCCCAAAGATAAGGAGAATGACATGATTAGGCGAATTCCCCCTTTATATAAAATCTTTTGGGGGAAGTTCCCCTCTTCCCCCAAGGAATTCATGGCAGGCCAGACAACCTTGCATTTTATCTGTGCCTAGGTGATCAGAGGCCTTCTCATCCAATCCCGCCCGCCGCCCCCCACTCACACACTCACATACAACCCTACACTCAAACACAGATCACATGCACCTCTGACCTGTGGCCACTGCCTCATACATATGCTTTTACTTCTTCCCCAAGCATTTTTATGTTAAGGAGGCCTGCCGGGCAAAGACAAAACCCTATCCCAGTTGCAGATTCCACCCATCCTCTTACAGAAGAGAATGTGCTGTTCCTGTGTGTCCGGATATTTAGGGACGGGCAAATGTCTAAACAAGATAGCTCCAGTCCTTCATTTTGTCCTGACAGCCCCAGGCTCTCTCTCTACTGAGAGAGGCATCTGTCATAAGCTGTTGGGAGCCCCACTTATGCACCATAACGGCCTGCAATTTTATTATACAAGGAGTTTATTGCTGGCCTAATTAGTTTCAAACTGGGCATTCCAGCTGAGGACACCTAAAAAACATCTGGTGAAAGGAGAGAGAAGGCGTCCTCATTTCGAGCGGGTTACGGTTGGATTTCTACATAACTCTGGTCTCCTGCATTGGACACAAGTTATCTATGGAAAAGTAACTGAAAAAAAATACGGAAACGGTTTCTTCTTTGTGGGAAAGGAGTCATCCTGTCATGGGGGAGCCCAAAACGTCTTAAAGTGGACGTGATGGAACTGTGTATACTTTTTTACAAGCTACCGGGATCTCAATAAGCTTGCTCAAACCTAATTCAAAATGTTCTTAGCTACACACCAGAGAGTGTTTTTTTTGCTGAGGACTTTTTTGTTCTCCCAACAGCAGCTAGCATTTTATCAATTTATCCGTCTGGAACAGGGCTTGCAATCTCATACACGCAATTTAAAGCAGAAGCAATACCACAGATTTGGAACAGCATGTCTTGGGTGTTTTGGCCAAATGGTAATCCTATAACAAGTCAACAAATCATATCTCTTTGTGATGTGTTTAATACAACACAAAAGGCACGAAGAGAAGATTCTAAATCTTAAGTGATTAAAACATCTGTTTTCTAAAAATCCCCAAGTATTGGGATCACATCTTTATTTTATTTTACTTCCTTTAGTTATTTAATATCAGGAAAGAAATGTGCATATTTATACAATATTCTCATACACACAGCCATTACACTAGGTGAGCTATTTCAAGATGGAGGAAAAATGCTAATTCCTTTAAGATAAAAGAATACCACTGTAATCTTAAATTGCAAGAAAAGAATGGAGTAGCTGCCAACTATGTATGGGACAAATGAACTCATTTAAAAAAGTTCAGGTCCTTTCAAATCTAGCCCCACTGGTTGAAACTGAAAAAATTGAGTTTCCTCCAAAAGCAAGGAGAGTTTGAATACAAACACCATTTTATGCTTCGTCAAAAGCAAGATTCAAAACATCGCCATTTGTTGTATAAATGTATTATTAACTTTCCTTAGTCTGGGGATGTCTACATGCAAGGAAGTATAAAGTTTAAGAGGTTTCAAGTGATGGGAAGATAAAAGTGGGGGGAAAAACAATGAACATTTCTGAGGTAAAGTTGCGGGAAGATTTTTTTGCACACAGATTATTTTTAAGAGGAGGTTTCTCTCTTTCTCTCCCCAAATGGGCCATCGACTGGTAATGCGGTCCTTACACCCTGGTAGTAGCAATTTCACTCAAGCAAGGAAGGGAGGGGTCATGAAATTCATACAGTCGGTTTGAAATACAATTGTCCGCTGCTCATAATTTCCTTTGGAAGGGAGCTCCCTAACTCAAACATAATTCAGCACTCAAATTCGTACTTGATGTTTGTAAATCATTCTACCTTCCCCTCTGCTCTGACGAACAACTCCCCACTCCGATGTTCATTCATTTCACTGCACCTCGTAATTAAAAGGTACCTCCACCAGGAGTGATTTACACCTCAACGTCATAAATAAAAAAAGTAATTAAAGATTACATAGCATTTCAGGGAAAGGGGGGAAGAAAAGAAAATGGTATCCATAAAAATGCGGCATCAATCTTGCTTTTTAAAAATACTTCGGGACGCAGCAGTGTACACGCACTGTCACTCTTAGCCGAGGCGTCGCTGGGGGGGATGGGGGGGTGGGTAGCAGGAACCTCGCTCCGCCGAGGCGCTTCCCTTTCCACGGCTGAGAAATGCGCATTGAGGATTTTGTGGTGCAAGTATTTTTACCAGTCAAGCTTTCCTAGTATTCCTTGAGCTTATAAACTATTTATTTGGGGGCAGGAAATATACTTAAAGAGCTAGGGCCAGCACGGCCGGTTAACCTCCAGACTCCTAAAAAACATCTCCACTTTCCACTTTCCTCCCATTACAACAAACCCCTCGCCTCCTTCTAAGCATCCTTCGGAGGTAAAGTTTTTTTTATAATTTCAACTCCAACTTTCAGCAAGCGTACAAAAAACCCCCAGAGCTGGACCAGCGCAGGCCGAGCGCAGACGGACTTTAAAAATGAAATGTAGCAACAGGGAGAAGGCTCAGCGGGCCTTTCCAGACCCATCCCGGGGATCCCAGAGTTTGCTCCTTGGTTACCCCATAAACAGTGCCTGAGGGGGTGAGTTGGGATCCGGCTTCCGGCGCCTCTTCGGTCCGATCGGGGAAGCGCCCCTGGTCGCGAACCACCTCGGCCATAAAACGAACCAAACGGAATCAACCCCGCCGCGTCTACACCGCCTGCGCGCCATGCACTTGTCCCGCGCGCGGGAGTGTAAACTTCATGGTCTTTACCCCCCAAACGCATGGGGAAACTGAGGCCCGGAACCTGGGACGGACTTTCCCGAAAGAGGTTCTGCCTGCTGTCTCCGCTGCCCTCGTGCCTGAGGCGCCCCGAGAGCCCAGGGCGCCCCGATCCAGCCCGTGCGCCCCCGAGAGCCCCGAAGGCAGCGGAGGCCCGGGCGGGGCGAGTGCCGGCGAGAGGCGCAAGTCGAGGGGTCCGCGTCCACCCCCGCCCGGTGAACCCCGGTGGGCAGCCAGGGGTGGGCGCCGCGGGAGGTACTCACCGCGCGCAGTGGAGAGGGTGCCCCGGCGCGGTGCGGACCGACGGGCTGGCGGGTGGGCGCGGGTCCGACGCGGCAGGGCGACTGCGGCGGGCACGTTGCCGCCCCTGCCGCCGCCGCTGCCTCCGCCTCCTGGGCTGCCGCCGCGGCTGCCTGCGCTGGGAGGACCGGCCCCTTCCCCTCCCTGGGCCGGGCCCTCCCTCTGCCCCCGCCCGGGTCCCCGCGCCGCTGCGTGGGCGCGTGGGGGCGCCGAGGCGAGGCGCTGGGCTCCGCGGGCGCACACCCTCGGCGGCTGCACGCGGGGCGCGGGTCTCGGGCCCTGCAGCTGCCGCCGCGCTGCTCTCTGCGCCTGCAGCCCAGCGGAGAACGCTCGCTCCTGCGGGTCCTGGAGGAGGCGAGGGCCCAGCCTCCTCCCCACCCACCGACACCCCACACCTCCTCCCCCTGCAACCCAGGCACGGCCCCTGAGAAAGGAGTGATTGCTTAGAAGGGACCTCAGCAATTACACTGAATTCATTCTGAATGCATTCATTCACCCATTCATTCATTCATTCACTCATTCATTCATTCTAACATATATTGCACATCTGCTGTGCCAGGCACAGCACCTGGGAGATTCGATTAAAACAAAACAGACTAGTTTTCTGCCCTCCCAGACCTTACATTCACAGGGGGAGACATATCGTAAATAAACAATCAAATAAAGAATCAAGGCAATCTCAGAAAGTTATTATTATGGAGGGGGAAAACTCTGTGCGGTGGCCAGGGGACAGTGATCTAGGCTAGGGTAGTCAGGGAAGACCTCTCTGAGGAGGTGACACCTGTACAATGAGTAAATGCCCTTCCTGGTGGAAGAGATCTCAGAGACCTCCTTTCACCCATTTTACAAATAGGGAAATTGAGGTTCCAAGAACTTGATTGGTATAAGCCCCTCACTCACCCTCAAATTAAGGCACCCCACTTCATTCTGTTATATCCATCCACCTCTTTCAATCTTACAGAGAGAGAGAGAGAGAGAGAGAGAGAGAGAGAGAGAGAGAGAGAGAGAGAGAGAGAGAGAGAGAGAGAGAGANAGAGAGAGAGAGAGAGAGAGAGAGAGAGAGAGAGAGAAAGAGAGAGAGAGAGAGAAACTGTCTTGAATAGAATCTATGCAGCATTTTCTCCCTCACCCACTTTCTAATTGTGTATGAACCCTGTTGTAGGACACCCAGGATGCTTCAGTCCAAAACCAACATCAGCCACTGCCATTGGTTAAGCTTAATAAAACACAGGGCGCCCAGATAAATCTGAATTTCAGAGAAACAAGGAATAAGGTTGAGCATGAGTTTGTACCTACTTACACTAAAAAAGTATTCATTGTTTCTCAGAAATTCAAATTGAACTGGGTGTCTTATATTTTTCTTTGCTAAATCTGGCAACTCTGAGCCCAACCCTTCCTTATCTCCTTTAATCCCCCAAAGAGACTGAAAGGTAGAAGCTTTTACAAATGATCAAGTCTCAGTTCAAAGAAGGCAGAAAGTGGCTGCGCCAAGGGCTGACAGTCAGGTCCAGCTGTCTCCAAAGCCCTTGATTTTGAGATATAATAGGGAGCCTTCGACTCCAGTTGTGGGGTTACTGGGAAGTTGATGAAACTTAAGCTCCTGGGGCCCTCGCTTGCTGGGCCACTTTCTAAGGCCCTGACAGGGGCCTAGAAAGGAGTTCACATGGTTGCTTGCTCCTGTCAAATTTACAAAACTCATTTGCTTTTGACATTTAGCAGCAATCAGCAGAGGCCGTGGTCTCTTTCCACTTAGATCCCCCACGGCAGCACCTGACCTTGAGTAGGGTGGTGTGGTGGGCGCTTTAGGGACCCAGACAAAGGAAAGCTGAGTTGGGACTTTGTGACGTTGGTGGTATTTTCCAGCTTCTTAAAATCTGAATTTGTTGTGATTTTTTTTTCTTAATTCAAAGAAATATTCACTTTTGTACCTAATTTTAGACCTGTAATTTTGCATTCTCTTTCTTAAATAAGGTCCCCAAGTTATGTACGCAGCAGGCCTCACTATATCTGGATCCACCTCTGGTCATAGCTTATTCCAGCCCCTTTCGACTCCCAAAACTTCAGACACTCAAATGTATTCAGTAAGCACAGCTGTCCCCCTCCCATGAATCAGGTAAGCCTTAGACCTGCTGCTCCCGGACGAAGATGAACTCTTCGGCTTTCTAGTTGCAGAACATACATCGGTACTTGGCCTTGATGTTCTCATCTCTAAAATGGAGGTGACAGTACCCATCTTGTATTATTATTACTATTGTGACAATTCGCCGAGATCATGCTTGTAAAACACTTTCTACTATGACTGTCGCTGGCACTAGCAATTGCTCAACAAATATTATTAGTGTACACACAACTTCACTTCCCATCGCATCTTTGCAAAAAGCTCCAAGTCATTATCAATTGAGCATCTTAATGCTCTTCAGAGGTGTTTCATTTATCTTGCCCCATGAGCCTTAATATAATGTTGTTTAAACAGTGGTAGTAAGCAGGACTTTTTTCTTAAAGGAATAGCATGGAATAGATTGTAATAGAAAATACCAAGTGAATTTCATGCAATAAGTGCGCGCGCGCGCGCGCGCGCGTGTGTGTGTGTGTGTGTGTGTGTGTGTGTGTGTGTGTGTGTGCAGGGTCAGGATGTGAAATGTGTTTCTTTTTGCAGATCATGGGGAAAATGTTGAAGAGCATTTATTAACGAAGGGTATGGAACCAAAGGGTTAATCGGTTTCCCTGAACCATTTCACTCCTTCCCCAGAACCTGGCCCATTATCTCATACATCGCAGCCACACCCCATAGGCCCCTGAGAGATCAACGGGAGGCAGGTACTTATTAATTTTATTTTTTTCTTCTCTCAGGGCAGTCTTCTCAATTCCGGCTGCACGTTAGAATCTCCAGGGGAGCTTTTAAAAATCCCGGTGCTGAGGCCCCATCCCAGACCAATTAAACCAGACGCTGGAGGAGGGACTGAGGTATCAGTAGTTTTTAAAGCTCACCTGGTGACCCCAGTCTGCAGCAGAGGGCAGGAGGCCTGTCTTTGGGAGAAGAAGGAATTGACCCCAGGTTCACAGTAGATGAGGTAGAAGCTGAGATAGAATTTAAGACTCCCGATTTTTATTCAAGACTGCTTAAAATCCAGTCACCTTCTTCGGCAGGTGTGTCCCCTTTCTGTCCCTTGATTTCTTCTTGTTAAGTATCTGGGCTCATTTTATAATGACCAGACAAAACCTGGACATGCTAAACCATAAAGCAGATTCTTTGGAGTGTAGACCACAGGCACGCCTACCCTAGAATAAAACACTGTTTCCCCCCAGAGTCTTCCAAGTGAATGTCCTCTGAAGAGAGGAGACCAACGGAATCTTGAAAACTACAAACTTCACAATGCATCCAACATGTATATTCATATTCTACGAACGCACACACGTATTCTCCATGCCAAATCATGCCTCGTTTCTATACACATTTCTTTCTCACCTGCAAAGATCTCCTCTACAGAAAAAAGTACTCCAGTTTTAAAATGCATTCATTTAAACCTTGGCTCTTCCCAAAACGGATTTGAGGTAGCATGCAAAAACATGTATACAGCAGCACAAAAAAGAATACAAGAAAAACAGTGAAGAAGAAACATGGGGAGGAAAAGAAATGAAAGTCAAGGGTGAGTTTTGCACACAAAATGTCAACTAAGAGATTCTGAACACTTGTCAGTGATGGACAGAGAATTACATGCTGAGCTTCCTGGCAGCCAGTTCAAAGAGGAAAATGTGATCAATTACAGCAGTGGCTTTCAGACTTTCTTTTATTCAAAAGTAACCATGTTGTGTTCTCTTCAGCAGCACCTATACTAAAAGTGGAATAATATGGAGAAGATCAACGTGGCCCCTGGGTAAGGATGACACACAAATTACTGAACTGTTCCATATTTTTATAGGCGAATTAGGAAGAAAATAAAAAGGCACAGAAGCTCAGTATGAAAAAAGGAGGTGAAGGATCCTAGCCCCAACCTCATGCATTATACCTTTCTCCTGTGGGTACTTGTAAAGTGTCTTGAAGGAATCCCAAAAGCTCTGCAAAGCCAAGATTGCAAGCCATGGATTTCAAAGTTCTTCACTGTGCTCATGATTCTCAATGCCCATAAGATAGAAACAAACAGGACTACTCGTATAAATCAGATTTTCCTTGATATTGGTACAGGAGAGAAGTTTTCCCATGGGTACTTACAGAAGAGGCAACATGTCATGCAGTGTATATGTGGGGGTGGGGCTTTTTGCAAACACATAAAATATCAAATACCCCTTCAACCAAGAAAAAGGAAATATTTTATCATATATTACATATATAAACATAAGCAAATATTATATATAATGTATACATATATAAACAATATATAAAAATCTCATGTCCTCCATAACCCAAGAACACAGATGCAAACGTACATTGAACATCTTTCTAGCAAATAGTTTCCCAATAGATTGCCTCTTGGTTTTTAATAAAAACTTCATAGAAGGCATGTTTCTCACCATTTTTGGACCAGTATTTATGAAAAATACGCTTTTATTTGTATCCCCAAATCTCGATGTACCATTTCTAGTGAAATAACACATGGGAAAGTAACTTTTCAACTGCTATTGAGGGAATATCTGAACCACATTTTGGAAAGTGCACCAAGAAGCGAAGAAGGAGACATGCAATCAGATGTGACCGTGTCATCACACACACATCAACTATTTGTTGAAAACTTGAGTAATCATTTGGTGATTAGAAAAACCATGCTTTAAGCATTTTATATCCTAACAAGCTAGTTTGATACTTGGTAAGCATTTTAAGTGTTTAGTTCCATTTTAGAAAATTATTTTGGGGCTGAGGTTGACATGTCATGCATTATAATTTTTTTTTTTAATCACAAGAAATCAGAAGGCCCAAGATGGTGGATTAGTTAAACACTGTGCCTGCTGCCTCCCAGCATCACACCAAAAATTACAAACAAATTATTGAACAATCAACCTCAAGAGTCATCTGAAGACTAGCTGAACAGAACCCCTGTAACTAAGGATCTAAAGAAGAGGCCACATAGAAACTGGTAGGAGGGGTGGTGACACAAAACGGACTGACCCCAAACCCACAGACAGTGTGTGGTTGAGCACTAGGAGGGACACCTCCTTGGTGGGGATTCCCTCAATGGAGGAAGGGTTCCCAGCTCCACACCGGGCTCCCCAGCCCAGGGATCCTGTACTGAGAAGAGGAATTCCCACAACACCTGGCAGCGAGGACACTGTCCATCCCAGTGAGAAACCCAGATGCCCTCTTAGAGGGAATGCACACAGACTCCCTTGCCTG